GAAAATGATCCTTTTTCGCCTCGACAAATGGGTTGAGACGAACCACCTTCTTTCAGATACTCAATTTGGTTTCCGTAGGGGTAAGGGAACGAACGACTGTCTCGCGTTGCTTTCCTCGGAAATTCAGTTGGCTTTTGCTAAGAAAGAGCAAATGGCTTCTGTGTTCTTGGATATCAAGGGGGCTTTTGATTCAGTATCCGTTGAAGTTCTTTCAGAGAAACTCCACGCTTGTGGATTGTCTCCATTAATGAATAATTTTTTGTACAATTTGCTGTCAGAAAAACATATGAGCTTTTCTCATGGAAACTCTACAGCTTTTCGATTTAGCTACATGGGTCTCCCCCAAGGCTCATGTTTAAGCCCCCTTTTGTACAATTTCTACGTTAGAGAAATTGATGTCTGTCTTAGTGACAATTGCACGTTGAGACAACTTGCAGATGACGGCGTAGTGTCTATCACAGGGCCAAAAGAGGTTGACCTGCAAGGACCCTTACATGATACCTTGGACAATTTGTCTACTTGGGCTATTCAGCTAGGTATCGAATTCTCCACGGAGAAAACTGAGTTGGTCGTTTTTTCTAGGAAGCATAGCCCAGCACAACCGAAGCTTCAACTTTTGGGTAAACCGATCACTCATTCCATGTCTTTTAAATATCTCGGGGTCTGGTTCGATTCCAAATGCACCTGGAGATCCCACATTGAGTATCTGAGACGAAAATGCCAACTAAGGATCAATTTCCTTCGATCAATTACCGGAACGTGGTGGGGAGCCCATCCACAAGATCTTCTGACGTTGTACCGGACAACGATTTTATCGGTTTTAGAGTACGGTAGTTTTTGCTTCCAGTCGGCAGCTAAAACGCACATCATCAAGCTGGAACGGATCCAGTATCGTTGTCTTCGTATCGCGTTAGGATGCATGCACTCGACTCATACTATGAGTCTCGAAGTGCTGGCGGGCATGTTGCCACTATCCGTCCGTTTTTCAGAGTTATCTCTTAGGCTCCTCACCCGTTGCGAAGTAATGAACCCACTGGTGATCGAAAATTTTGAGAAGCTTCTGGAGCTAAATCCTCAAACATGTTTTATGACTTTGTACTACCTATATTTAACACAGGATGTCAGCCCTTCAAGAAATATTCCCAATCGTGTAATCTTCTCCGATTTCGGCAATTCAGTGAATTTTGATTTATCTATGACGCAGGAAATCCGCGGAATTCCAGAGCATCATCGTCCTATGATTGCTCCGTCATTATACGCTGCAAAGTTTGGCCATGTTGATTCTGCAAGAACGTTTTTCACAGATGGATCTCTAATAGAGGAGTCCGCTGGTTTTGGTGTATTTAATGAATTTCATAGCGCCTCTCGAAAACTTGAAGCTCCTTGTTCTGTGTATGTGGCTGAACTGGCAGCAATTCACTACACCTTGGAAACTATTGCTTCACTTCTTCCAGACCACTACTTTATTTTTACGGATAGTCTCAGTTCTGTCGAGGCTATCCGTTCCATTAGGCCGGTAAAGCACTTCTCGTATTTTCTCTTGAAAATACGAGAACTGCTTAGTACTTTATCCGTGCGCTCTTTCATCATCACCTTCGCGTGGGTCCCTTCGCATTGCTCAATTTTGGGCAATGAGAAGGCGGATTCACTTGCGAAGGTGGGCGCTATGGAAGGCGGCATTTATGATCGACAAATCGCCTATAGTGAATTTTTCTCTATTTATCGTCAGCAGTCACTCGTTAGCTGGCAACATCAATGGAGTGAAGGGAGCTTGGGACGATGGCTACATTCAATTATCCATAAGGTGTCGAAGTTTGCATGGTTCAAAGGGTTGGACTTGGGTCGAGACTTCATATGCGTGATGTCTCGTCTCATGTCCAAGCACTATTGTCTGAACGCTCACTTGTTCCGTGTGGGGTTGGAAGACAGCAATCTCTGTGAATGTGGACAAGGTTACCAGGACGCTGATCACATCCTTTGGTCTTGTGCGGAGTATCGTGGAGTTAGATCACATTTTTATGATTCCCTTCGGGCTCGAGGTAGACAACCTAATGTTCCAGTTCGGGATATTTTGGCTAGACGCGATCTGGAGTTTATGAAACTCATATATGTTTACTTTAAGGATATTAACCTTAGATTGTAAGTTTGATTAACCTTGTGCTTAGTTTGTATTTTGTACGTGTGGGTTTTTTTTTTCAATGTTTGTTTTCAAGATGAATAGAAATAATTTCATGCTTTAGGATTAATTAAATAGTTGTATCGTAAACCACATTTCAATCCTCCTTCTTTCCTTTTCCCATCCAAAAAATTGTAAATCTCCACTAACCTCGAGACAACCGCGAGTACTCGGTCCAGTTCCTTTAACTTTAAATTAAGACAGTAATAATGTATAACGCAAAGGATAACTCGGCTCTGTAAAGTTTATTCGATTGAGCCTGTACAAATAAAGTAATTATAAAAAAAAAAAAAAAAAAAAAAATTACCGTATCATCTCTGTCATGACGCGCTGTCCTCTATCGTTAGTTCTTCCGTGAGGCCCGTCGCTTCATCGAGCTGCTGCACTGCGGACAGTACCACTTGCCCTTGGGCGTCGAGGTGATGTTCACACACGGATAGTGGAACCACTCGAACGGACACTGGAAGAGAGAATTTTTGGGTAAGACATATGTTTCAACAGTGATCTTCAACGGCATTGCAGGAAGAACATTTGTTTTTCAATCCTCCATACGATCTCGCCCTCTTCGGTTGAATAAATCGGTATACTTACATCCTCGTTGTCGCATGCCACCATATCGCCGTACGAAACCTGATTGCAGATGCAGTACCGCGGTTCGTTGGGATCGTACGTCCACTCGCCTTCGGCCGTCTGCTCCACCACCATTCCGTTCTCGTTGAGCACCACGTTCGGCCCCACCGGAGGACCACCTGGATGATGGGCGGTATGTGCCGATCCTCCAGAACTGGCACCACCAGTCACACCGCCACCGACGCCGCCGATAACACCACCACTACTGCCACCAACGACACCGATACCGGAACCGCTGCTGGAAGATGCAGACGAACCACCGATGCCTCCTCCACCAGCACCACCACCACCAACACCACCACCAGCACCAACAGCGACCGTTCCGCCTCCGACTCCGCCGCCAACGGTCCCTGCTCCCACTCCCGACAGTACTCCCGGAACGGGCGACTCTAAAAGATCTAGAGACGAGGACGACAAGTTAGGATTGAGCGCGGCTGAGTGCAGCTGCTTCTGGTGTGCTTGTAACAGTGTAGCTGTTGCGGGTGGATGAGCGTGTGTGTGTGTGTGTGTGTGCGTTCGGGTGTGCATTGAGGGATGAAATGGAAAATGTTTGTGTTAGCTCTTTCAGATGGCATTTTGATGATGTCAATGATTAGAATAGGAACCTTCGATCACTAACCTGCAGCAGAAGTATTGGCCGTCAGCTTCTTCTTCTGGTGTCTTCTCTGCTGATTGGAGAAGGCGTTGCTGGTTTCCCGTTCCACCGCCTGCAGGGCGTTGTGGGTCGCTCCGGCCAGTTCCCTGTTGTTGATCAGCAAGTCGTGGGGACCAGTTCCGGTTCCGCCGGCTCCATGGATAGCTTCGTATGAAGCCTTCAAACTGGCAGTCCTCCTTCCCTGTTGCATCTGCTGCGTTTGGGCTATGGCCTGGCTGGCAGCCGCCGCTATGGCATTACCCGCCCCAAACTGTTGCAGATTGTAGGCCACCGAAGCGGTAGCTCTCGGCGGTACGGAAGTAGCCGGTGATAGCATATGGAACGGTTCACTGGCCGCAGTAATGTTCGGCGTTGTCGGCCGAACTACAGGTCCACTTACTATCCCTCCACTGGCAGTGGCCACCGCCTGACGCTTTTCCGGTGGGGCACCCACCAAAGACGGAACCGGAATGCTGCTTTCCCGACGCTTTTCTGGCTTGATGCTGTATCGACTTTCCACCCGAGCCGCAGTGGACCCCGAAATAGCACTCGATATTCCACTCAACGTGTCAAAATAGCGATTCTCCTTCTGATTCAGGCCACCATTGCTGGTGGAAGAGTCCAGCTCCAAGGAGCGTTTCTCCAGAATCTCCGTTATGCCATTGTGATCCGCCTCCAGTTCACATTTGAACTTGTACAGCTCACTGTCCAACCGCCGGAGATAGCGGTCCACCAGGTCGTACATTTGGCCGGCCAGCTGTACCTTTTCGTCGGAGTCTTCCAGGACCCGGTAGTAGTCCTTGCGGATCGAGTGAAATTCGGTATCGGCTAGTCCGCCAACCAGTTCACCCCGGCGGCACTGCTGGAACAGTGTGCGAGCCCGTTTGTCCAGCGAGTCGATGTTGTCTGGAACGGGGAAATAAGTGTTTTGTTTTTAAATCGCGATTAAGGCCATATTTACGGAGATAAACGCGATTGAAGATTTGGGTAAAAATCATGATTTTGGGAAAAAACAAATCAAACATCTAAACACCCCTAAAATTGCGATTAAGGCCATATTTACGGAGATAAACGCGATTAAAGATTTAGTGAAAAAATCATGATTCTTGATTGACATCCAAACACCCATAAAAACGCGATACTGTACTTTCTTAAGGATTCTAACGGCTATAGGTACTCTGTTTTAACTTACTTTGTACGGAGAGATCCATTTCTCGCATTTCTGTAAACCTATCGCGAAGTTCTTGAGGCAAATGCTCAATCACTGCAATGAGAAAAAAAATAGTCAACATTAGGTCTACTTACATAATACTAACAAATTATTATTTTTGGAATCGCCTGGCGAACAATTTAACTTTTCGTGTAACGATTCCAAAAACGTGTCGATTTCAAATTATTGCGCCAACGCATTCAAACATCTCGCACTCAACTCGCGAACGCACCCACACCGGACCGACGTTTCCCGTAAGGTTAGTCTGTCCTTTTTCAGCCATCCGTCAAACACCGAACAGCAACAGCAGCAGCAGCGGCTTACTCTTGCGAAACTTTTCCAATAATTGCTCGGAAAACGGATTTGTACTCACTTTCCAGATAATCCTCCAGGTACAGCATCTTCCGGCAGTGCTGAGCAACGTTCGGACACAGGATACAGGTGAGTAACTGATTTATTTTCCACCGAAAACACGAATTATTTAACACCAACTTGCTTTTGCTTGGGTGTGTTTTGGTTTTTAGAAATTTCGCAGTTTGACATTTTGCTTTGCAGCGTATTTCGTGCGATGGTAGCAGCGAACGCGCCCCGCAGTGTTATACTGCGGGTGCGTGTCTTCGCTGTTCTCCGATTATAGTAACCGCTTGATTTTCATTCCAGAAAGGTATAGAAATGCGCCGTCGTGAGATTCAGAACTTTTCCCTCAAGCTCAGCGATCTCAAGGAGTACGAGCTGGCCAAGCAGGAACGGCTGGCCCGGACCAGCGATGAACGGTCCGGTAGTGGAGGTGCGGCTACCACAACGATAGCGGGTGGTTCCGGGCTGGCAGCCGATGTCGATCCGATGAAGACACCCGAAGTTACGATGCCAAGCCTGCCCAAGTTGGGCCTTGGTCCCAAAACTAAACAGGAAATTCGGGCGCGGATAGGGTTTCCACCGGATTTGCCTTAGTGCAGAAGAAGGGATGTTTCGGAATAAAAGTTAGAATGTAAAAGCATACGCGTGTATCGATCTGTCCGAAAAAAAATTAGATATGGGTACATAGACAAACCAAGTGATTATTAAATAATTGATTTCGATAAAATCTTCTACTCGTAAAATTTATTGGTTGAAACGATTTGCATGGAGACATTACTCGAAGTCCACTAATCATACCGGAGCTTATTACGGATGTCACTTCACGGTGAAAACTTGTCACTTGTCATCACGGTGAAGTGATTCCCATTTGATTTGTACGACAATCACGGCTCTTATTCTGAGTATCACTTCCTTATTGATGAAAGTATATGTTAGCTTTGCATCCGTTTGAACAAAAATGGCTATTATCACCAGCGTTGCCAGGTAATTTTCAGGAAAATCTGATCCAGTCTATACAGTATTTTACGATCACTTATGGCCGCCACAATCTGGCTGAGTTTCTGGTAGGGAACATAAGATTTGAAGTGTAGGTTGTGTCGTTCGACGTGTAAACGATCAAATTTGAACGTTTATACACAGACAAACAGACATAACACTCGCAAGTTGTTCATCGAACAAGCATTTAACGGTAAATTTAAAAGTATCGTAGTTGGTAGTACCGTCATCTGCAGCGCGCATAGTCAATTTCCTTACGTTTGACGTTTACACACTACCGCCATCTGTTCTGCGTACTACCCACCACAGTGTACTCAACAGATAGCGGTAATGTTTTAGCGACGATGTTTTACAATGAGAAATATTCAATGTGTTATGTCTGTTTGTCTGTGGTTTATACGTCGAACGACACAACCCAAACGTCAAATCATATATTCCCTACGAAAAACTCAGCCAGATTGTGGCGGCCATAAGTACTCCTAAAATGCTGGATAGCGACTGAATTCAACCTGTTTCGTCAATTATACCGAAAAAATCCTCCGGAACCTTAATTGGCTTGGCAGCATCGATAATCTGCACCGGATTCGACTGGAATTTTTTCCGTTGAAAATTCAGAAGAATCCACCGGAACTTTTGTTGGCAGCTTCGGCAATCTCCACCGAAATCGAATGGAACCCTCTTCGTCGAGAATAATTCATCATAACTTTCAGTTTCAGTTCATTTGTCAGCATCGAAAGTCTCTGGAATCGACTGCGTACCTGTGGAAACTAACGATTTTAAATTAGCTCACTGGTCGACGTCTAAAAATTCCACAGGAATCTATCGAGAGATCCTGTTGACAGCAGCATGAGGCATGACTGATTTTATATTAACAAAAACTGTTACAGTGAGGCAATAAATTTTAAAATCAACCCACATAGTTGCACAAGTTCTGCTGAAGTCGATACCAGTTTTAAGAACATAAAATGAAATGCATGGAAAAAGGAAAGATCGCTCGTTTACATAATCTGCCTGAACTATTTATGTAGGAATGATAATGCATTAAAAGTTAAGTTCAACATGCCCACGCGCATCCTATCCCAGATCCTATCCGCATCACAGAAAACAGACGTCCAACTTCAGTCAGAAACTTGTGTAAAGATAAGTGGGAACGTCGCCATTACATGGCGCTAGCATCTATTGATTTCCTCTGTAAATTTTCCAATTTCTACCAATTTGGCGCTAGTATCGATAAATTTTCTGTTGAAAATTGCCATTTGGCGCTACCAGCGCTTAGTGTCTAGTGTAAATTTTGCGACGCCAGCGTTATCAGGTTGTCAAAAAGGGGTTTTAAGTGGGGAAGTCGCCGTTAGTGGCACTTAATTCGAATAGAAATCTTTACACTAGTTTTTAGAGAAATCTTGTTCGAGTCTCAACGTCTGTTCTCTGTGTCCGCATGTAGATGATAAGCGGTTTAGTCTTTCTGTTTGTTTATCCTTAAGGAAGATATGATTTTTGACTTAAACGTTACAAATGTTCGTCATTATTATCTTGTAAACCTCTTCTGAGAAGAAATGCAATACCGTAGACCCCCGGTAATATGACCGGTTTTAATCTGAACACTTTTTAATTTGAACCCCGCGACATTTGAACTTTTTAATTTGAACGGCGTGCAAACTAAAAATTTCTTAAACGTCATTTTGCACATGGAACTTCGCATGGAACGGAGTAAAGCAAAATGGAACCACAGAGAACAGACGTTGAAGGCCCAAACGCAATGTGGACGGAAGCGGAACGGAAACGGAAAGTTTGACAGTTGTCACAAATGCCTTCAAGATGCCTAACCGAAGTCGATTTGGTTCCGTTCCAACAAGTTTTCAATCCGACAAGTTGGCTTACTCAGATCGGGCTTTTCCGTTGCCGTTGCCGTTCCGCTTCCGCTGTCATTGCGCTTGGGCCTTGAGGCTCGAACTAAATTTCTGTAAAAACTTGTGTAAAGATTCCTATTCAACTTAAGCGCTACCAACACCGACTTCCCCACTTAAAAACCCTCTTTGACAACATGATGGCACTGGCGTTGCATAACTTACACTGGACACTAAGTGCGGATAGCGCCAAATGGCAATTTTCAACCGAAAATTTATCGATACTAGCGCCAAATTGGTCGAAAGTGGAAAATTTGTAGAGGAAATCAGAAGATGCTAGCGCTACGTAACAGTGACGTTCTCACTTATCTTAACACAAGTTTCTGGTGGAAGTTGGACGTCTGTTCTCTGTGATGGAACATTGCAAAACGGAACGCAGAATCAAAACAAAACAGAAAATAAGGCAACCAGAAACACGCTGATAGGGTTACTAGAAGTTCAAATTAAAAATGAACCCCGAATGAGGTGTCGTTCAGATTAGCGGGGGTCCACGGTATATTTACAAAATAACCGAAAAATCCCAGATCTGAGAGGGCATAACATGTAATGTCTAAAAATAAAAAAAAATCACCCTTCCAATGGCGAGTGAAATCCTGGCTAATAAAATAAAAAAATAGGCCAGAAATTATGTGTTAAAATCCGGTATTGAAAAGGATATGTAAAATCCTAGACGAACCAAGTAAAAGTTTTACATAATTATAAGTGGCTAATGCAACACGTGGACGTAAGATAACTTTGTATAAATGTTTGGAATAAACTCAAGTTCGTATCTCACTCCAGATCCTTAATTGAATCTGAAAAAAACTCGATTTTCTAACTAAAACTTCTCTCCTTGATCGGAGAAAAAAGTAACTCCTAGAAGTGTTTTAAGGCTGTGTTCCATTCGAAGAACTTTTATTTAAATTTGACGCTTAAAAATGTTCGAAAATCCCTCTATTGATGCTCCTCCGATTTGTAAAATTGATTCCTGGTCTGTCAGAAATAAGTCTGGTACAATAGCAGGTTTATTGGAAAAAATTCTATCTGTCAAATTTAGGTGAAAATTCTCTTGTTACTTTTCAAATAGACCAATGTAACAAATGTAAACAAATCGAGTTAAGCGATATAAACTATCGCTCTTCTATCATTGTATGTGATACAAAAACACCCATCCAAATTTACTTTCATTTATTTAAAAAATCTTAGCTCAAAAATTGTCCAATGTACAGTTTGAAATGATGGGTACATGATTGTTACTTCGGTCATTCGGACTGCCTAACATGATTGGTGCTCGTTTTCTAAAGGCAGGGCTAATCTAAAGTTAGGTATTCTACTATGAAATCTGTGAAAGTAAATCTAGTATCATGTAGATCAAAACGTCCAATGTAACACTCATTGATTATGTCATTGAGAAAAAAAATCGTCCAATGTAACATGTCCGATGTACAACGCGACTTGTCAAAACGTTCTATGTGTTTTTTTCTATGTTTTAGCATGAAATTCAAAGTTAAATTGTGATTTTATCGTTTCTACTCAATTTTCAACGTTATTTTTCACTGACTCCATTAAAAATAGTATTGCAAAATGTAGTGTTTCTAAACAGTTTAAATAATAATCTGTCGACTTCAACTTCGATTTTCTCAAAATGGTGGATATGTTACATTGGTCTATTTGAAAAGTGACGCGAGAATTCTCCAAATGGAACACAGCCTCAACGTGTCTAAACCTAAACTGGCAAGTGAAAGAATCTCTAGAACAGAAGAAAGTATCTTTCTGACAGCGACAAAACCAAACTCTGACGTTTCTGTCACATCTTTCCAAATGTTAGAAGCGGTTAGAAAAATCCTAAAGTTATTAGAACACTTTTATAACACTTTAGAACGATTAGCAATGGATATTTTGAAAAGGTTCAGCTTAGATAAGGTTCTTCAAAAAGAACACGGTTTTTTTTTTTCTTTTCTGCCCGCTTTTTCAGCGAAACCGATTGAGTCATCCTCTTTCTCGGACGTCATTTCGATTGGAAGTGAAGTTTTCGAGTTATAATTTCTAATACGCCATTTTTAAGTTTTATCAAGATTCAAAATAACCGAATTTTAGCTCAAATGTGCATGATTAACCATAACAAACAATTATTATGCTCAGTTTTGTCTTTTTATTTTTTGATGAAAGAGTAAATCAATTGGATTGTTATTTTTTACAGCAACAATCTGGGAAAGTCTGGACCTTTTTTTTCATACCAGTGATCTGTTTCTGTGTCAAGACAACTGAAAAGCTGGAATACTGGCAACGCTGACTCTCACCCACTATTGCAAACTGTTATACCAACAGTTATTCTGTGATACACAGATAACTGCGCTTGTGTGCGTGCAATCAAACACCCCACCCCCTAAAAAAAAACAACCAAACGACTTGGATGTCCTGTCCTGTCAATGGGAAACACAAACAAAAAAGACACCAAAGGATAACACGCATCAAGGTGGAGGAAAATTTTTCGCGATTTCCAATCCGTTTCCGTCGTCGTTGTCGTCGCGAAAGTTAGCATTAATTCGCTTTCGTCCAATTAATTTCGGCGCGAGTTCCGATGCCAGTTGCGAGTGTTGTGCGTGCGGCGGATTAGAAGCACCGGAACGAGGACGAGTCAATGTCGCTCAAGCAACAGCAGCAGCACCAACCCCTGCTGAACCCGGAAGTGGGCGGCGTCGGCAGTGCGTGTGCAATGGAAAAATTGCTGGAAGCCCA